TTAAGTCATCCTCACTTTCAGCAAGCAAAGTTGTATCGTCTGCATATCTCAGGTTGTTAATGATTCTTCCTCCAATCCTGATACCACGTTTTTCTTCATAGTTACTAGATATATGTCTGGGATTTGAACACGGGCAGCAGATCTCAAGTGGGATGTTGTCTGGTCATTATGATAGCTCAGTGGAAGAATGATGCCAAAGGGGCCTCCCCCGGGGCTGTGACTGCAGATAAAGCACGTGGGCGACACTGATACCTGGTGGGCATGAAGGCAGTGCAGAAAGAGATGGGGCCATGGATGCAATAGAGGCACCTGGTGAAACTGGAGAGATGGGGCAGGTGGGTAGAAAAGGGCGAGAAATGAAAAAGAAAATACTGGAGAGAAGGACTCGGAGGAAGGTGGCCGATCTAGAGCAAAGGGCACTGAGGGAAATACCCGAAAATATCCGAAAAGAAGGTTGTTTAATCCCTGGTTTGCTCACCGTTGGGGGAAAACCCAGAGCAAGTACATGAAATAAGCAAACCCTTCATTAAAATGAAATTTTTGAATATGATGCAAAGTTACCTGATTTGATGTATTAGCAGTAAAAGGGTAGAGGTCCTTCAGGTAAATCCTTGGCATATTGTCCAGAAGCATGCCATAGAGGGGCATATACAAACTTGCTATCTGGGCCTGTTTTTCCTAGATGAAAAGTTACCAAGAGAAATGATTCACAGAAAAATCAACAGGCTTGTAGGTTTTACATGCATTTAATGCAGTGAGCCATTAAATGGTGTTTAGGGAAGGGAGAGAGGGAGGTCACTTACTGGTTCTCTGTATCGATCATCAAATGAATGCTTAGCCATCAGAGTTTTCAGGACAGCTAAAGCTAAGTGCCTGATATCTTGGTCTTCCTGCAGAGCAAAGCCAACCTCCCGGAGCAGAATTCCGATTAAGAAGTGTTTGCGACAAAATTCATTTGTGACCGAATATTCAGGCATATCTTTAGGAAGATGTGAAAAACTCAAGTTAGTGAAAATCAAAGATTCAATTTTAAATGAAGAAACACTTGTCAATCAACTACAACCAACCCCTCCCAGTACTACGAGAGATTCAGTAGTCCAGTCTTTCTACAGAGATAAGACATGTTGTGTCCTCAATAAGATAGGTTGATATGCTGTGAATTGAAACACAAATACAAATGGTGCACAGTGTTAACGGTAACATTTCATGAAAAGGAAGGCTTCACTAGAAAGGAGAGAAAATACATATATTCTGTCTGGAGGAATCAGGAAATGTTACCGGAAGGAAGGTTTTGAGGTGGGTCTTTGAAAAGGGGTAGGGTTTGGAGATACAGAGGTTTGTGAGAGCAGATGAATTCCGTGGACAGAAGGAATAGAGGTTATGACAGCACAGAGTTCTGAAAGTACAAATACGTGGGGGACAGTAAGCACAGTGGCCAAAGAGGAGTGATGAGAACTGTGGCTTGAGAAGTAGGTAGGGGCTAGAGACAGACGCTTAGGTGCGAATACTTTAGCCAGTGTTTAGGTTCCTCTAGCATTGCCTGTACTTTGTAGGAAATGTTAAGTCACTAATGGCTTGTGAGATTAGTGGTGCAATTAGACTTGTGTTTTATTTATTTATGAATATGATAACAGGATGTAAATGAGTAATTGACTGTAGAGAGATGTGGGTGAGGGTTCAAGCTCAGAAGGCTGCAGCCATGAGAGGGGAGAAGTGAAAAGACAGTTTGGGCTGAGGTGGTAGGAACTGAATAGTGGGAGTAAATTTCCCAGGACATGTTGGCTGAAGAGAGTGAGGGAGAAGGAGAGAGTAGACCCTGGGGTTGGCCCTGAATTACTGAGAAGAGAGAGCTAAATTTCAAATAATGGATTGAGTCAGTGTTGTTCACTGTGCTTCATATGTATACTTCTACACACACACACACACACACACACACATATCTCACCGCATTGAGTTATCCAGACTCATAACAACTCCATTGGGTTTCCAAGGCTGTAGATCTTTATGGAAACAGACTGCCTCATTGTTTTGAACCGCTGACCTTTTGGTTAGCCGAATGCCTTAGCCACAGCTCCACCAGAGCTCCATATATGTACATATGTATGTACACATAAATGTATACATATATGGGAGCTCTGGTAGCATAGTGCCTAAGGCACTTGACTGCTAACCAGAAGGCTGGCAGTTCAAACCCACCAGCCACTCCTCAGAAGGAAGGTTGGGTAATCTACTTCCGTAGTGATACTGCCTCGGAAACCCAAGGGGGGGGTAGCTATGAGTCGGGTCCAACTCAACGGCACATAACAACAATAACAATGTACATATATATGTATATAGAGAGAGCTGACTCTGACTCATGGGGACCCCATATGTGTCCGAATAGAACTGTGTTCCAGAGGGTTTTAATGGTTGATTGTCAGGTGTTTGTTCTGAATATACATATAACTAACTCTGTCTTATAGAACATGTATGGTGTGCCAGAAATGGGTTAAGTATTTTATGCACATTATCCCATTTAATCTTCAAGTCAACCTGGAAGGTAGCTATGATTAGTATTATGAACTAGACTATTGCAGTGCATAGCTGACTTGGAGCAAATTCAATCTACTGACTTTTTCCGCCCACCAGATGTGGACGTTCAGGAAGCATGATCAGTGCTCCTCAATCAGGGGCCCAACAGGACTTATACTTTATTACTTATTAAAGGTCAAACTACTTCAGGTAAAAAACTTTCCCAGTGAAACAGTAAGTAATACTGGGGGGCCAGAAATGGAACAAAACTTTTAAATTCCCAATCTAGGGCTAGAGAAAATAGTTATTCAGACTATAAGTGTTTAACCTGTTTCAGGTAAAAAGAAAATTACATGATACTAATAATTTCAATATTGAAAAGACAGCTCAAAGTAGGTTTTGGGTCAACAAAAGAAATATACCCTAGAAAACTAGTTATATTGAACAAGAATGCTAATATAAATTTTAGATATTTTTGGAAATTAAAAATCTCAAGTGCTGAAAAACAAAATATGAAAGAATACAAGTTAGGGAATCATCGGATTACCTGTGATAACAGAAAAGTTCAGGCAACTTTTTGGAATCTTGGCTATATGACATTAAATATAAGGTTATTTATTAGCATCTGGAAACTGAAAATTTGTAGACAGCCTACATCTCTAATTGGACTTCTCAACATTACTAGGTTATGATATAATCATTAACAATTAGATAATGTAATATAAAATATCATTATTTACCTGATGCATGTAATTCTTGAGTTGATTCTGAAGGTGTCAAGGGATCTAGATTTCATATAAATAAAAGTTTGAATATATACACACCCAGATACACATATATACTTATTAGCAGTATTATTGATATTAGAAAATTGAAATATGTTATTCTAAAATGTAAGTGTGTCTCTTCAATATTCCTTTGTTTGTCAAGAAGGAAGGCTTAAGTTGTTTATTTATTTTCCTAAAAAGAAAGTCATAAACATAACAATTTTAATACTTAGCTTTCCACTCAAGCATCTATTTTATTGTTATTAGAAACTTGCTGGCTATGAAAAATATTTTAGTTTTCTCTCTTTACAGTATCAGATACACAAAGACACTATCAGGTATTTTTCTGAGCCATTGGCAAATAGCTGACAATAGGTGTCAAAGTAAACAAATACAGGTTTGGTTCTCTTGAGTATCTTAACCAACTTAGCTAACCTAGCAATACGCTGGCACCAGTTGTAAAACAAAACCCCATACAAAATGAAACAAATATAAAAATTTTATTGTTCAAAACATCATACCTACTTTGGTTTCCATTAAGGCATTTTAAGTAACTGAGCTTCAAAAATGATTTTTAAAATAGATAATGCATGTAGTTTATATTTAAGATTAAAACGGTGAAACTTATAGTTTGATAACTTACTTTGCCTTTATTCGCTCCAAAAAATTTAGTGCAAATATGTGATTACTTATTAGCACCTGGAAATAAGGTGTTTTTTCTCCTTTTCATTAAAACTGTTCCTTGTGTACAGTTTCCTCACTGCTTAGAAGTAAGTAAAGCATTTCAGGTTCCTAAATCATTCTAGCATTCTCTTCATGTCTTGATGCTTGCATCATTTATGGTGTCTAGATAACAGCTGCTCATTCTCTACCATAATTTTCACATACACATATATATAGGGCTATGTGTGTATGTGTATATGTGTATACATACGTGTGTGTGTGTATATATATAACAACTTCTGCATTTTAAACTGATTGCCTGAGTCTGAAGCTGACACCTTCAGATAAAACTATGACGAGTGAAACATGCACACACACACACACACACACATATACCCACACATATATATACACACATATAAATACACATACACACAAACATACACACACACACACATATATACAAATTTTACGCAATTATTTTCTGCAGATTATTTAAGCTATAGCAAGCATAGTAAACAAAACGCAAACCCCATCCTGACCTGCATGCCAAGCCTCTCCTTCTCTCTGGTCTGGAAGTGTTAGTATTTGCAATTCTGCATTCCCTCATTCCTTCCCTTTTCTTCCTTCCTTCCAGGGCACTGGTTTTCTTTGGGCACTCATTTTTAGTAACTGCATTCTAACATAATCGCACACATTAACTGATCATTTTAAATCAATTTATAGTCACACAAAGTGTAAGTGTTCTTCCCTGTGATTATGTATCTCAAATCATAGGAAGCCACCTTTTAGGGCCAGTATGATGAAACACAGTGCGGCTGTGGGTAAAAATGCTTTCACTTACAATGGTCAGTTTTATAATTTTGCTGGCCTTCTCCTTCATGAAAAGAGAAACAAAGGCAAAACCTTAGAAACATAGAGTCATGCTCATTATTGCAAGCTGATGACTTCGTGTTTTAATCCGATTGCCTAGGACTGAAGCTGATGTGATCCCTTCGGAGAAAACAGGACCAAACAAACAGCAAACCATGCAAACAAAGGTTCCGTTTGTCAGAAGTGGAGAAAATCCTCAGAATTCCTACCTGGAATGTTCGCTGATCGTATGGGGAGACACAGGGGAATGAAGTGTTCATGCTGACATACTTCTTGAAGAAAATCAAATTTATACTGGCATAAGGTCTGAAAAAGAGGTAAACCGAGTGACTTATTTACACACCAAAAAACTTCATAAAAACAAACCAACCTGCACTTGAATCTCATCCCTAAGTACACATCGTCATTGTTGTGTGCTTACAAGGTATTGGTGAAATGTAAAGATTTCTGTCCTCTCCAAAGTGGCCAACGCAGCAGTCGCTGTTCTTGTTGTTGGTGCTGTCAAGTCGGCTCTGACTCACAGCGACCCCATATGCAACAGAACGAAACGCTGCCCAGTCCTGTGCCAGCCTCACAATCCTTGATGTACCTGAGCCCATCATTGCCGCCACTATGTCAATCCATCTTGTTAGGTTGCCTAGTTTTGGAAACTGATCAAGTTCTCCTCAGCGAATGATCCCACTGGTAACCAGTGCCATTGAGCTTTTATCAAATATGATTCTACTGAGTCATACTTTTCACTTCTTTTCCTAACATGTTCACTCTGAGAAAATACTGTCCTGCTGTGTGTAGGTCCCTACGTGAGCTGTGGCTGCTGAGTGGGCCGTGATGCCCTCATGGACATCGGAGCAGTCCTGGGCTCCAGAGAGCTTTCCACGGCTGATTGTTCAGAAGTAGATTGCCAGGCCTTTCTTCCAAAGCACCACATTTACAGAGCCCTAAAAATACATTCAATTGTAAAAAAAAAAAAAAGACCACCACAGTCAGCTCCTATGATCCAAAGCAAAGGAAAAAAATGGTGCAAAAATTCTAAAATTGGAGTCAATCTCTCCCTGTGTGCCATTTGTTCTCTGAGTTCATGATTTAATTCCATCTTCTTTCCTGCCCTTCCAAACAGGTCTGTCTTTTCAATAGTGGTTGGATTAGGAAGGTGATAAATGGAACCCAGACATCATCTAAGACAACTGTCATATGTGTTTCCAAACAACCGTGTAAATGGGAACAATGAGCATCCTCACGTATTTTCTATTTTTGCTGTCATGTATGCTAAGTAAGGAGCTCCAGTGGCATAGTGCCTAAGGCATTTCACTGCTAACCAGAAGGTTGGTGGTTCAACCACCAGCCACTCCATGGAAAGAAGACTGGGCAATCTATTGCATAAAGATTTACTGCCTCAGAAATCCAATGGGGGTCACTATGAGTCAGAAACAACTCAATGGCAGTGGGTTTGGTTTTATGCTAAGTAATCACTTTTTAAGACTAAGTTAGATTATCTTCGTTATACTTACTAATGGCGGGTAACTAAAGAAAAGATATCCAATTTTCTTTGCTATATTAGGATTACATCTCATTGCAACTTCAGTCAATAAAATACTGTCATTTCAAACAAGAGCATAAAGTCAGCATTAATTATTCTTCAGTGAAAATAACTGTTTCAGCTCTGAAAACATACACAAATTAGGTCTATTGCAATTATATCTAAATGGATATCATCAATGATATTTATTCTCAAAACCACAAAAGCTAAACTCACTGCCATTGAGTCGGATCCAACTCACAGCGACCCCTCCTTGGGTTTCTGAGGCAGTATGGAAAGAAGCTCTGGTGGTGTAGTGCCTAAGTCATTTGACTGCTAACCAGAGGCCTGGAGGTTCAACTCCACCAGCCACCCCTTGGAAGGAAGGTTGGGCAATCTACTTCTGTAGTGATATCACCTCAGAAACCCAAGGAGGGGTCGCTATGAGTCAGGTCCGACTCCACCACAGTGCATTTGGAAGTACCTCTACGGAAGTAGATTGCCCAACCTTCCAATAAAGCCCTTTTTGCTCAAATTGCAGTCAGTTTCAGTTGCTTGCAACCCAAAGAAACTTAACTGATACAACAATTTTCAATCTGGCCCCATTCCAGTCTTATTTTCCATGAGGGACCCACCAACGTATGCCATATTGTAGCTTAATGTTCTCAAACTTAAGAATGCAGAAAATCTTAAGAATGCATAAGAAAGTCTTGTTAAAACACAGATTTATGGGCCCTACTCCCAGTAGTTCTGTTACCAAGCGAGGTTGCTGTATTGGCCTAGGAAGTACACTTTAAGAACCAATGCTCTGGATGCACCTTTCTTCTTCTATTACTTCCCATCTTCCCACCCTTACCCCAACCTGGGTAGGATGACCAACAGTCCCAGTCTTGCCAAGATTGAAGAGTTCCCAAGGAAGTGGGCCTTTGTTCCTGTATAATGGGACTATAAGGATCACAGCTGACAAGAATCACTCCTTTCACCAACTACAGAAAACAGGAATGTGACTGTACCCATCCCATTCTTGCTTGTCCCCCATTAAGGAAGGAATTGGGAGGCATACTGGGCACATGAACCATTGTGAAAGGCTGCCGCTCCTCGGTAGAGGGATTCTTTTTGGATACAGAAATGGGTAGGTTAATGTTCTAGGTGGGTAAACACATAACACCCCTAGTTAGAGAACAGAGTCCTGTGGCCGGTTCTTACCTTGAGGTCACCCGAGGAGAACATGCTGATGTAGTTGTTCACCATCTTGAACACAAATCCGCGGTCCATAAACGTAAAGCAGCGCTAACAAAGGACAAAAGTCTAAGTTCACAGACAATTCAGTCACAGAACAATCTGTGTATGAACTTGCAACTGGAAAACTCATTTCTAGCTAAACCTTCACAAAAAGCACAATGAAAGTAAAAAAAAAAAAGAGTAATTCAAGATTTTAGAAAAGATGATTGGGTAGATTAAATTAGGGTAAGACTTTAAATGCCATGTTGTTGTTGTTGTTGTTTGCCGTCGAGTCGGCCCCGACTCATAGCGACCCCTCCTTGGGTTTCTGAGGCAGTATCACTATGGAAGTAGGATTGCCCAACCTTCCTTCCGAGGAGTGGCTGGTGGGTTTGAACCGCCAGCCTTCTGGTGAGCAGTCAAGTGCCTTAGGCACTATGCTACCAGAGCTCCCTAAATGCCATATATATTATTTTTAAATCTTTAAAACATATTCAGGCATTTATCCACATATGTCAACTAATGAAAATAGGAGAGATAGTAAACAAACCTGAAAGTTGCAAGCATATATTTATTAATTTTTATAAACCATCAATGGGAGATTTGCAAGCAAATATTACAGTTCTTTCCTTTTATAAGAAAATAATAACTTTATTTGTGGAATAGGTTTAGGTTTACAATACTGAGAAGACAGTACACAGAGTTCCCGTGTGCCTCTTTCTCCCTAGCACTGTTCCTCCACAATTAACATCTTGCATTAGTATCGTACATTTGTTACAGTTACTGAATTAATGTTGTTGTGGGTGATGTTGAGTTGATTCTGACTCAAAGTGAACCCATGTGACAAAGTAGAGCTACCCCACAGGGTTTTCTTGCTGTAATCTTTAAGGAAGCAGACTGTCACATCTTTCTCCCACATGGCAGCTGGTGGGTTCTAATTGCCATGTTTTCAGTGCTCCACCTAGCAGCACTCAACCATTGTGTCACCAGGAGTCCTTCCAGTTTGTTGACCAAAAACCAAGGCTGTTGCTGTCAAGTTGATTCTGGCTCACAGTGACCTTATAAGACACCGTAGAACTGCCGAATAGGGTTCCCAAGGCTGTAATCTTCACAGGAATAAAATGCCAAGTTTTTCTCCCATGGAGCCACTGGGAAGGTTTGAACCACCAACCCTCCAGTTAATAGTCTAGTGCTTAACCATTGTACCACTAGGGCTCCTCATGAACCAATACCGATATACTGTATTATTATAAACTAAGAAGAAACCTAGTGGCACAATGGTTAAGTGCTTGGCTGATAACCCAAATGCCAGTGGTTTGAACCCACCAGTTGCTCCGAGGGAGAAAACACCTGGCAATCTGCTCCCATAAAGATCAGAGCCTGGAAAACTCCACGGGGCATTTATTTATACTCTATCCTGTAGGGTCACTTTGAGTGGGAATCACTTGGTGGTATACAACGACAGCATTAGAAAGTCTGTAGATTGCATTCAGGGTCATTCTTTGCTTTGCACAGTTCCACAGGTTTTGACAGATGCCATGTATCTACCATTACAGTATCACACAGATCACTTTGGGGTCCTAATAATTCCCTCTGTTCCATGGATTTATCCCTCTGCCTCTCCTTCCTGAGTCCCTGGCATCTGCCGATCTGTTTGCTATCTCTATAGTTCTGCATACTTTGGACATGTTAGGAGGAAAAGCCAGAGCCTGGAGAAGGACATTGCGCTGGATAAAGCAGAGGAGCACCACGAAGGAGGAAGACACTCAAGGCGCTGGGCTGACCCCGTGGCTGCAACATTATGTGCACACAGCAACAGCTGGGACGGTGGGGCAGGACTGGGCAATGTCTGGGTCTGTGGCGCCGAGGGTCGCTATGAGTTGGAACCGACTGGATGGCACCTCACATCAACAACAATAACAACAACAACAGCAAAAAAACAGTTTTGCCATTTCCAAAAGATGACATAGGGGGAATCATAGGGAAGCAGCTTTCTCAGACTGGCCTCTTTATTTAGCAAGATGCATTCGAGGTTCCTCCATGCCATCTCCTGGCTGTTAGCTCATTGTTTTTCATTCCTAAATAATATCCATCACATGATATAGCACAGTTTGAAACCCTACAGAACTCAGTTCATCTCTGACACACATGAGGTTGTCATCAGTCGGAACCACCACCAACATGGTGGTTTGAGTTTATGTTCCACCACCACCAGCACCAATTTTCGTATAAATAAGCACCACAAAAACATCTACTCCAAAAGCACTGAGCATTTAAGCTAATAGGGTGGATGTGATTACCTTCTCTTTTTCAGAGTCTCACTTATTGATCCCTTTTGATGTTGAGAGAGAAATAGCATATTATTTCTTTAAAAATATTTTTCTAACAAACTAGGTCTGTCTCATGTAAGATGACCTCCAAACTGTTTCCAGAAGTTAGATGAATTAGAGTAGTTATTTATTCAGACAAATGGACAAAAGGATATGGCTGTATGAGGAGGAAAAAAAAAAATCAGAACGAAGCTTCCTTTGCTGCCAGCTGTGTAAGAAGGTAATCCAGACAGACACGCTCAGGGGGAGCTGTGACCCAGGCTGCCATGCAAAGCCAACCACACAGCCACATATGTAGTTGTAAACCAAAAACAAGACCACTGTCACTGAGTCAGTTCCAACTCCGAGCAACCCCCGCTGGGTGTCCAAGCCTGCAAAGCTTTATGGAAGCAGACTGCCCCATCTTTCTTCTGCAGAGCGGCTGGAGGGTTCAAACCACCATCCTTTTGGTTAGCAGCCAAATAAATGCCTTAACCACTATATCACCAGAGGTCCTTTTACTTATTTATTATTATTATTTTTAATTGTGATTGGGGTGAAGATTTACAGAGCAAATTCACTTTCCATACAGCAGTTCACATATACTTTGTTTCATGGCATTGACCACAGTTTACCACAATGCAACAGCTTCCCTCCCACTTCCTCCCCATAGTTACCTCTTCCCAGTGTCCATCCCTCCATACACTCCTGCCCTCTGAGCTG